CACAAACTCCTCGGGAAACAACTGCAGCCCCCGCACAGCAGTGACCACAACAGTCATCCCGCTGCTCTACTCCTTCCTCTTCCTCACAGGGTTCTCCCTGAACGCCCTGGCAGCCTGGGTCTTCCTGCACGTCTCCAGCACCAAGAGTTTCATTGTCTACCTCAAGAACATCGCCGTGGCCGATCTCCTCATGAGCCTGACCTTCCCTTTCAAAATCCTGGCTGATTCCGAGATTGCACCCCCGGAGCTCAACCTGTTTGTGTGCAGATACTCTGCAGTCGTGTTCTACATGAACATGTACATTGGGATCACCTTCTTTGGCCTCATAGGCTTTGACAGGTACTACAAAATTGTAAAACCTCTGTTCGCCTCCTTCGTTCACACAGTGAACTACAGCAAGGTGGTCTCTATAATCATATGGCTGTTGTTAATGCTTATATCATTTCCAAATATGATTTTAACTAATGAAATCGCTAAAGACAATTATTCCAGAAACTGTATAGGTCTTAAAAACAAGCTTGGCACACGGTGGCACACAGCAACAACTTATATTTGCACGGGGATTTTCTGGGTTGTTTTCATTCTGCTAATCATATTTTACACTGCTATATCCAAAAAAATATACAGCTCTTACAAAAAATTCCGAAGGAGCTCAGACACGGCCAAGAGAAAAACCAGCCGGAATATTTTCAGCATCATGTTTGTGTTTGTGGTTTGCTTTGTGCCCTACCACCTCTGCAGGACCCCGTACACCCTGAGCCAGACCACCTCCCAGTTCACCTGCCAGTCCCAAAAATCACTGTACTACGCCAAGGAGTTCACTCTGGTGCTGTCTGCTGTGAACATCTGCCTCGACCCCATTATTTATTTCTTCCTCTGCCTCCCCTTTAAAGAAAAGCTGTATCAAAAACTGCATCTCAAGCTGAAAGCTTCAAGTGAGGTTGAAATTTCTAAATCCAGAAGATCAAACACACTCCGAGAAAGTGTAAACATCTTGTAGTTTCAGGTCTGTACGTTTCAGGAAGTCATTCACCAATGCAAATGTCCCAAAGAAACACAACAGATGAGGACCAGCAACAAACAAAAGAGGTTTCAACACAAAACACCGAGTGCTGTTTCTCTGTACATAACCATTATTGCATGTGCCAATGTATTCACTGTGTGCTGCTTCACTGACGCTGTGGTTGCATCAGGATGTGACACAACCCACCTGGATCCCAAAAACAGAGAGAGGAGTACCTGGAATGGCACCTTCCAGAGCTCCAGGCCACGGGTCTCTGAAAGGATCATCCAAAAGACCCAAAACCAAACCAATTTTCTGCTGTTCCTCACAAAGCCAGGCACGACACACCAAAGCAGCCTGAGAGCCCTGGGAACAGCCAACAGCCCCCCCTCGAGCAGGGCAGAGCCCCTGGAGGGGGCACGAGGATGGTCAGCACGAGGCTCTCAGACTTGGCCTCCACCAGCCCAGCCAAGGGACTGAGACTGTGCTGGGAACCTCACTCGTGTATCTGCTGGGTCACAGAGCAAAGGGCTGGTGGAAATGCACAGCCTGAGGAAGGATTCTATGCCAACAACTGGGGGGGGAGATAACAAAAAAATAAATTTAAAAAGAAAATCAAAAAAAACACACAGCAAACCCTCACAGATACATACAAAGCCTGAAATATCTTTGGTTATATATATGCATATAAACATGTAGAAGTTTTCTTAAGGGACATATTCTGTAAAATTAAAAACTAAACATAACTATTTGTCACCCTTGGGCAAAAAGTGTCAGGATATTTCTATAAGATGTGATGTTCAATCTAAGCAAGGGTTTCAAGAGGATCCTTCCATAAAGTAAGGAGCACAGTGACACTGCACAGTCTTCCTCAGGACTTCTCTGAACTAACATGAACACAAACACGTCCACACCAAACTGCAGAAGCTCTGCTGGTGCAGGAAGAGGCCAGAACATCACAGAGCCATGTGGGAACACACAGGTACAGCTGCCTAGAAACTCCAGGTACATTTAAATCCAGAAAGAATGGTTTGTTGGTTTTCCCACGCTTTTGACACAGTGATAAAGCATTTCTGTCTGTACCAAGGTAACAGCTGAAAGCCACCAATCTGCTCTGTACAAATATAATATCTTTTATAATTGTATTTTTCAGTGCAGCTTTTTTTTTTTAATTGATTTTATCATTGTACAGAGAAAACCCACCAGGGCATAAAGTCTCCACTAAAGCTTTCAGGCAGCAGCTCTGGAGGCTGAATGCTTTCATTTTACCTAACAAAGAAACTACAGGAAGAGAAATAACGTGTGCTTCACCCTCCTGTCACTGAGTTCCATTTTAGTCCTAACAGATAAGAGTGAAAAATTTTCAAACATCTGGTCCTTGCACCTTCTCCAAGGCCAGGGGTAACTTCTCTTGGTCCGAGACCACTGGTCTGCAGCAGCAGGATTCCACCATCCCACAGGATTGGATTCCAGCTGAAGGTCTGGACAGCTCTGCTGGATTCACACACAGCTTTGTGAAGCAAATTCAGCTCCACGTGTTTCTCCCTTGCCTGGAGAGCAGTCCCAGCTTATCTCAGGGAGGACCAGCCCCCCCAGCCTGGGTGTTCACTGGGGGTCCCCAGCCCGAACCTGCCCACAGGGACTACAGGACAAGGCTGTGTTTGGTAAGAAAATACATCAAAGATTATTTACATGGTTCTTTCAGAGCTCCCCAACTCCATTAAACAGACTCTGGAGGCTCTGCCCTCTAAGCAAGGGCACCAACCTGCTGGGGAAGGGAATCTGGTGCTTTGTGGAAGATCTTTCGTCATTTATGGCAAAAACACTCAGTTCCCTACATGGCAGGGCTTGGTATTTGCCTACGTAAATCTACATCATTGTGGCTGTGAAAGATCACTGGCACAGGCAGTGAAAACTCTTCCCCAACATATATTTGAATAACTTTTTAATTGCTTTGCAAGCTTTGAAAACATTATTTATATTGCTTCCTCACCCCAGCAGATCACTGATATTAGGATGACAAGAACCTACATGCAGGCACCAGGGAAAGGGTGGTGATCAACACCCTTGTTCAAAGGAATGCTACATAGAATTCACTTGGAAAAACTCCTCCTCCAAGAGCTTCACTAGTCAAGAAACGCTCCTGTGCCCCTGCTACAAACCCACCCTGTGAGTGACAAGTCCCAAATCACACCAGTGTCAAACCAAGTCCCTGCTCCATCTCCCCAGCCTTGCTCCTCACTTTGCTGGATGAACTGAAGCCAATTTTGTTTCAGCACCGGGTAAATTAATCCTTTCACATCTTTCCCAGCACATGATGCCTCAGACACCCCAAGCCAGTTCCTCACACACCCAAGTAACTCACATTCACATGTCTGTTCTCCTCCTAAAACACCTCTGCAGAAAGGGCAGACCCTTTCACACTAAAGGTTTACCCAACTATCACATACTTTGTCCTTTTAGACCTGGAAGTTTCCTGAGTTGTAAACTGACTACAGAAAAGGGGAGAACAACAAAGACACAGAGACAGAAACAACTGACAGGGCTGCAGTTTGGGTTTAAAAAAAAACCCTACAAGTATGGCAAGATCAGCTTTCCATAAGCAGAACACCCTAAAACGAGCCCATGTTTGCCCACAACTGGACATGGGATCATGTCGGATCACGACGTTTTGCAAACATTTTGACAAATATGGTCTGAACTTTCAGCTTATGACTAAACATAAAACCAGACATTCTTCATCTGTTCCTTCCCAAAGCTCTGGTGCGGGGTTTGTAAATTCCTGTGGATTCTCAACTACAACCAAGTGCCACCAGTCAGAGTTTCAGTGTCGCTGTCAGTCCCTCACCCCCAGCATGGTGTCAGACCTTTTCCCATGGCATAACAAAAAAAAAAAAAATATTTCCCCTACTTCCCTAATGTGTCATTTTTATTTTTAATGGTGCTTGGTAAACGTCCAAAGGTTTAGAATATTAATTGAGATCAGCAGAATCCCTACGTGCCTTAAAATCCACAAATTAGAGCGGAACTCTAAAGCCAACGCTCGCGAGATTCCCAAAACCTGGAATTTCATGCAGGTATATTACAATGAGAGAGGATAATTAATATATTACATTGCAAAATCCTGATTCCAGACAGATTTTAAACGTAAAATATATGGGGGAGGGGGGCAGGGTGCAACAGAGTTTCAGATTTATAAAAACAGAAGCAAAGAAACAGCCACTGATGTCACACACTCACAGCCCCAGGTCAGGGGTCTGGGACTGAGCAGATGGACTTTTGGGAACCACACAAGAAAGTCCACACACTGAGGTTGACCTGACCACACATCTCATGACCCTTACACATGTGAACACGTGTCAAACATTTAAACCTTCAGGCCTGAAAGCAGCAGGACACACTGCCCAGGGCAGTGCCCACGGGGGTCAGCCAGGCCACAGCTCCAGCCACAGCTCCAGCCCGGACAGCTCCTGCCCCTGACACAGGTCAAGCACCTCTGACCATCTGCCCTCCACTAAAGCTTAATGGGAATGATACAAATCCGTGAGACTGGCCCAGCACCACGCCTGACCCGGCTGTTCACAGCCCATTCCTCACCCATCAGTGCCCGTGGGCAGCACCGTGGGTGTGGGGGCACAGCCCCCGTGGGCAGCACCGGGGGTGTCGGGGCACAGCCCCCGTGGGCAGCACTGTGGGTGTCGGGGCACAGCCCCCGTGGGCAGCACTGGGGGTGTCGGGGCACAGCCCCCGTGGGCAGCACTGGGGGTG